TTAGCATATTTTATTCTCTATTGCATTCTTAGCAAAGTTATGTTTTCAGATTTTACATACAATAATAAAATTTTCGATTAAAAAATGTATTTCAGATTGATATATATAAAATCTAATCAATTTTTTAAAAATGTATATTATACAAATTGGTAAAACTGTATATAAAGTGTAAATATTTTAACATAACTTTATAAAAGAAGTGTTTAATCTTCTTTTTACCAATTCTGGTATCAATTCATCGTGCAGTTAAGGCTAAATAGCTATTTAAATTTTTTAAAAATGTGTAATTGATTTAACTCGCATAATAATGATCAACTTGACAGTAATAGTAATGGCATTAACAATAACAATGATGTGACCAATCGTAACCTGAATAATTAAGGAAGTAATTAGTATACATTCGGGTGGTATGTTAAAAGAAAAATAAGTAATACTTATCATGCACTGGAAAAGAATAAATTAATTAAGCAGAGTTGCATAGTTGAATAAATTAATTAAGCGGGGTTGTATAGTTAAATAAATAAATTTTGTAGTTAATTAGTAATATGCATAAAAAATGATATAATAAATAAAAGTTAATAACAATTTATTGTAGTATATTCACAAGAAACAAATAATAAAAAATACCTACTCTTTTTTCATTCAATGCGATATAATTTCCTTGTCTTGCACTTACTAATCTAGTAGTGATTTATAACAGTTACAATATGGGTAGACTAAGTAAGCGTCGATTACATTCTAAAAAAGCTGCACAAAAAAGTCTTGAAAGTAGACGTAAATCTAGAATTTATAAGCAATATTTTTCTAAAGTAGATGAACAACAACTAAACTCAACCTGCGAAATGATTGAAAAATTATATTATAATAAGTCTTTATCAAAAGAAGACAAAAAACGAAATGAGTTAATTTCTACAATTCAATATCGCAAAAAGAGTTGTCTTCAACAAATCATTTGATTAGTGTAATGCGATATCGAAAAGGTGCACAAGAAGGGCAAATACTATCACCATATTTACAAGACAAGTCATTGCAATTTATTCAGGAGTCTCTTTATAAGTCAACAACATTTAAATCATTAGAAGAAACTAATAAAAAATTGCATCATGAAGTTCAAGAACTAAAAAGTTAAAATATGCAATTAATTTGTAAAACACAATCAATGGAATCAATAACTCGATATTTACAAGACAAAAGCACACACCAAATTTCTCAAATTCGTTCATATGTTCGAAAATCTGTATCTCTTTCTTCTGAAAAATTTAAACAACATGTTAAATTATTATTTAAAGAAAACAAATGGCAATATTCAACAGATTTAATTTGGTTAACTACACAAATGACACAAGTTGGTCAAGTATCTATGCATTCAGCTACAGAGTGTACAAAATTAATCTATGAATTTTTAATTGGGGAACCACCTAAAACTTGGTTTTCATATAGAACACTATCTTTATGGCATAAAGATATTTCTAAATTATCTACCAATTCTTTTCTTAATGAAATATGAAATACTACTAGTTATGGTATTATGGTTGATGAATCCAAGCGTGGTGAAATTAAAAACTTTATAATGTGTTTTATGTTCTGGAGCTTTACTCATAATGAACCTTTAACTACAATAACACATCTCCAGGATATTGATAGATGTGATGGAAAATCTGTATCGGAAACAGTTCAAATTGATCCTAACAAATGTTTTGTGTGGTTGTCAGATAACACTGCCTACATGTCTGGCAATAATAGTGGTGCAACTGTTCTTTTTAATAAGTCAACAACTTCCAAATCAATAAGAATTGGATGTGGATTGCATATTATGCACATTGTATTTAATAATTTTGAGCAAGTTGCATTCAGAAAGCTTCCTTCGACAATTGGTTTTACAAAATTTATACACCCATATAATTTAGCTTATCTTGCATGGGAATTGCATGATAGTTACAATATGAGCAATAATGATAAAGCTTTGGAAAAAAAATTAAAGAACTATATTAAAGTTACTTAGGTTTGTACTTTACTCAATACCAGCAACCAATTTGTGGACGCTGGGGTTATGAACTATTAACTCTTAAACAATATTTAGAACATTGTTCATCTTATTTGAAATTTGCTAATTGGTTTATACTGCAGTTAAAAAAGCTTCACAAGCCATCTCAAACATATATTCAAAAGTGGCATCTTTTTTTGCAAAATCCAAAATTAGCTATTTAAACTAAGCATTTAGTATGATTTGGAACATGCTTTTATGAGCCATTGATACAATTCATGGTTGGTCAAGATACTAAACCAAGAATATTACATGAA